ATGTTTTAGAAACCGTCGTTGATATTATATACCACGTCGGTTTTGTTGATTTGTTGGAGTCGTTTATTTTACTTAATGTACAAACTTTATTTATTTCTTGTTACAGGATCTGTCAAAGCTTGACATGCCAGCTCCTCTATTAGCCCTATGCCAATATGTCGAGACCAAGTTGAAGCCTGCTAACTAGACCATTAGAATTCACATGCCAGAGGAAGTGTTTGGCACTGATCTTGATACCTAGCTCTTGAGTGAAGACATTTTACAGTTTGCTTCCATGGTTGAGATTGGATCTACAGTGTCTCAGTATACATGAGGTAATTCTAGAAATCCAATTTTGTTTTTTTCACGCTTTCTTTCTTTTAAATTAAAATCGCCAAACCGCTTTGTTGACGAGGACATGAGAAATATAGTGAATACGTAAGTATATAAATGAAAAACTATGATTTTTTATTTATGCATTTGAATGATACGACGGATTTTTCAAATACCGACGTTGTAGTGAAAACACAACGATGGTATATTATAACCGACGTTGGAAATCATTTACAACGTCAGTATTTTCTTGAAACCATCGTCTTCATTGAAATACCATGTCGTTTGTGTTTTTTATTTTAGGACGTTTTAATTTTTTTTGTTCAACTTTAAAATTTAAAAACAACTTTGGTTATACATCATTTTTCTTCGTCACCGACGTTAGAATGATACACAACGACGATTCTTATTTTCCAACGTTTGAACTAAAATACGACGTCATTTGTTTTAACAAACGTCGTCTTCACTTATTTACCACGACGATTAATATTTTTTAATGCTGATTTTTAGTTTTGTCATTAACACTTTTTGTTTTCTTGAAACAGTTTAATCAAAATGTATAACTCTCACACAGGCAAACAATCATCACGTAAATCACTCATATGGAAAAATCTACAAGGCACTCCTAGACAACCAACAAATGTAGAGTGTGGCTATTACGTGATGCGTTTCATGAGAGATATAATTCATGATCCATGCCTAGCAATTGAAAAGAAGGTAAAATTTAAGATATAATTTCTTTATTTTAATACCACGACGTTTTCTTTAAAAACCGTCATTTTAATATTTATAACACGTCGGTTTTTGTTCTTTATTTGCAGTTTGACAAGAAAAAGGAACCAGTTGTGTATACTCAAGAACTTATTGACGAAGTCAGGCTGCAATGCGCAGAATTCGTGAACAAGCTATTACAGAACAATAAGTGATATAATTTATTTTAAAAATGTTTAGGTTTATTTTAATTTTTTGATAATGTATATAAACATATTTTTGGTAATTAATTGAACATTCATCAAAAAAATCAAATGAAAAATATTTATGTTGTTAAATGAAATAAAATGAAAATATATCATAAGAATTTAAATTAAATCCCAAAAACCGACGTCTCATTCTTATTTACACGTCTCATATCTATGAACAACCGCCGACTTATTGTAGCGGGAAAGAAAACATCGGCTGCATTTCTAAAAAACGTCATGTAAGGTTGATATACACGATGGTTAATATATAAAACTGAAATGTACGAAAAAATTTGTATAGACATACAATGTCCGTTAGTACAACAGAGAGGACGTGTTAAAAGAGTAAAACGTCGGTTACAAGGTAAAATGTGACGTTGTATATCTAAACAACGTCGTCATTAACATAATAATCGACGGTGTAAATTCTACTTATGTCGATTATTAAGAAAAGGTTGACGTTGTAACATACTAACCACGTCAAGGAGTACATTACGACGTCTAATGTATTCTAGGACGGCGTTATGTGTTATGTAACTTCGTTGTAAACGGATGCAACGTCGGTTATGTACATTTAATTTTTGTATGACTTTTATATTTTATTCCTAATATTCATAATAATTTCAAAACAAATTCCATAGAATAAACTGACAACTACCATGCACTCATTGAAAGATTTTATCTCCCCTAAATCTTTAAAAATTTTAATTTTTAAAATATTTTAATTTGTATTTATTTACTAATATTCATAATATATTCAAAAAAAATCCAAAAAATAAACTGACAAATTCTATGCACTTATTGAGGCAATATCTCCCCCTTACATGCCTGAAAATTTTAATTTTAGATTTCAAAATTAGAAGTGATAACAAAAGTCAAAAGGATTTAGAGACAAAGCACAATAGTCATATACTTTCCATAACATAACCCTAAGGTTTATGTGATCCATTGGTGGTCATAAAATTTAAAATTATTTCATATGGATATTAGCCTACTAATATAGAAGGCATTGTTGTAAGGAGTCCATAGCAATTTTCGGTTCATTTTTCTCATACTTGTGTATTTTTTTTTTATAATTATTGTAAAATTTAGGGTTTAGGGTTTAGGTTTTATTGAAACGACGCCGGTTTCTCTCGCTCTTTTTGGTCAATTACGCGCGTTCGAATCCCAGGAAACGCAAAGCAAATCTAATTATTTAATACTTTAGACGTCGGTTTTTGTATGCGCGACGTCAAAACGCTTTATAACGGCGTCGGTGTAACATAACCACCGCTGTAAGTCTGAAATACAACGACGACTGGGTTGTATTTACCATCATCTCTAATAAATGCGGTCCTTTGAAATTTTTGACCGGGATCTAAAATTTCCAGCCCTAAAGTATTTCCTTTTCTCTCTTCAACGTAAATTTGTCTTAAAGTTTTCGCTCTCTCTCAAAGCATTGGGTATATTTTCTGAGCTCTCTCAACCATTTGATATTTTCTCTCAGCTCTCTCTCAATATCCATGTACGTATATTCTCTCAGCTCTCTCTCAATATTCTCTTATTAGTTTGTATATATATTCTCTTAGTTTGTATATTCTCTCAGATATCTGTAAATATTTTGTTAGTTTGTATATTCTCTCAGCTTTGGTTTCTTAATACGGGTCTTTTATGTTTTGGGAGCTCTGGGTTCTTGATGGGAGCTATAAATGGGTTCTTTTATGTTTTGATGTTTGCAATCTGTTAAGGGTTCTTTGAAAAGGAATGGGGATGGAAGAATTAGGCTTTGGTTTTTTGTAAACCACGACCAACCGTCGTCTAAATTTTTATTATACGTAAGCTTTTTATTTACTACCACCGTCGACCCTAACCTTAACAAATATATTGTTAGTTGCTTAAAGACGACGGTAAATAGACATGCCATTGTCTTAATCTATGTTACGCGACTATTATTTTGTAAAAATCGTCGTCTAATTCTTGTGGAAATTTTTTTCTTCTTTTTTTCCACTTTGTTCTCTTTTCTGTCAATATAGTAGGGGGTGGAAGCATTTTTGAACTTTTCTGTAGAAAATCTTCTAACTACCACACATATCCGTTGTCCATGTGTTAAATGTGTTAATTTGAAATTGTTTGGGGTTGGAATTATAAGGGATCACTTATACTTTAATGGAGTTGACCAAAGCTATAAGAATTGGACATTTCACGGAGAACCTTGGGAAGCAGCTACTAATGCTAGTAGAAATGTGGAAGAAGATGAGCAAAGTAGGTTCAGTTTTGTTTCTGAAGAAGTAGGGATGAATGATAATGATTTAGGCGATATTGGATTTGATCCTTATGAGTTTGCCAATGTGATTGGGGATGGAGATCAACCATTGTACCCTGGTTGTAGAAAGTACACGAAGTTATCGGCATTAGTGAAGTTGTATAATTTGAAGGCAAAATATGGGATGAGTGATGTCTGTTTTACAGAATTATTGATACTTCAAGGCGATTTGCTTCCAGAAGGAAATACAATACCGGCCTCTATGTATGAGGCAAAAAAGACTTTGTGTGCATTGGGGCTGAGTTATGAGAAAATGCACGCATGCCCCAATGATTGCATCTTGTATAGGAAGGAGTATGAGGATTTAACTCATTGTCCTAATTGTGGTGTCTCAAAGTGGAAGGAAGGCAAAGATTCAATCTTGAAACGGGGTGCGCCAGCGAAGGGGGTGTGGTATTTTCCTCCAATTCCAAGGTTTAAAAGGATGTTTCAATCACATAAGACAGCTAAGAGTTTGACTTGGCATGCTGCTAAAAAATCAATGGACGGTCAAATGTCTCATCCAGCAGATTCCCCGTCTTGGAAACTTGTTGATGATAAATGGCCCGAGTTTGGTAAAGAGCCGAGAAACATGAGATTGGCTCTCTCATCTGATGGATTCAATCCCCACAGTTCTTTAAGTAGCAAATACAGTTGTTGGTCAGTTATCTTAGTTACATATAATCTCCCACCATGGCTATGCATGAAACGAAAGTTCATGATGTTGACCTTATTGATTTCCGGTCCTAAACAGCTTGGAAATGATATAGACGTCTAGTTAGAGCCTTTGATTGATGATTTAAAATCTCTGTGTGATGGGATTAGAGGAGTGTATGATGCACATATAGAAGAATACTTTACACTCATAGGTGTATTACTGTGGACAATTAATGATTTTTCTGCCTATGGCAACTTATCTGGTTGTGTCGTTAAAGGATATAAAGCTTGTCCAATTTGCGGCGATGATACACCTAGTCACAGGTTGAAAAATGGCCACAAAATTTGTTACATTGGGCATAGAAAATGGTTACCAATCAATCATCCATATTGGAGGCAGCATGCAGCTTCTAATAGGAAACCTGAATATGGCACGCCTCCCGAGCCATTAACCGGAGAAGAATTGTTGCACATGGTTGAAGATATTAATTAGATATGGGGCTCGAAAAATGGGGGAAGTGTTGGTGAGAATGATGGTGACAGAGTTTGTTGGAAGAAGAAATCAAAATCTCCCGATCAACAAGATGTCGTGGTAAACGTCTTCCATCATCCTCGGCTTGTGAAATATCGGATCACAATTATCTCTGTATCTAGAAAAGTGATGCCTAAGCATGAGTTCCAAAACAAAAGTTGCATCCATCAGCATGATAAAAGTAAAATCATCACTACTTAGTCCAATATGCTTCACATAATAGCTCCTTGCTTTTGCTTCCCATGCTCTCACTAATCCAAGACAATGGTCCAAGTTGAGCTTGTTCCGGCAGAAAAAGGTGTCCACGTATTTGGGCTTACACATGGCATAGCTTGTATCTTTGACGTGATAAGGTCCGATTGCGACTACACGAGGTTTGTAGACTTCTTCATTCCCCTTGCGAAATCTCTCCGGGACATTGTAGATGCAACACTCAGGCCTCAGATCAGGCGTGCTTCGGATTAATTGCTGTATGGCAATCGCCACTGAATCACTCGAATTTCCAATTATCGATCCCTCATCACTGGTTGGTATGCTTGAAACACCATCATGCTTTATACCTCTATCCCCATGCCCATGGAGCGTCCCTGCAATATGTGAACGGCCCCTCTGTCATCATGTGTATGGCAGAGCCAAAATTTTACTTTAGTTAGTAAGCCAGCATCAGACAGTATATGTGCTTATTAAATTTATAATATTGCATGTCAAAAACTCTAGAGTTAATTGATAACGTTTGTAGGTCAAATCAAATTATGATCATAGGTTGAGGATGATGAAGCTTACCATCTTATTCGTAAGTACTTGAGTTGAATCGTTGGCTGACTAGATGGCTCCTCCTTGGTTCAGGCAAGCTTAGAGCTCTTTCTACAATCTGTGGAACTAACTGAGGAAAGACCTTTGACCTTGTTACAAGAAATTCACAAAATGTCATCCAATGTATTCTTCAATATTTGCAAAAAGAAAAGTTTCCTTGCAACCTGCTTCCCATTCAAGCCCTGATTATTCAATTAAAAATGTATAGCTTCCTCTATTTCTTTTTTGGTTCCCATTAACAAAAGGGTTAATTATGGCTAAAGATATTTAACGAGTATGTTGAAAGGATTGTTGACACTTTTAGCTCAATATAATTGGTTATATTTTTTGGAGCTGATTTTCCCACTCCTCTTTTGCTCACTTGCACTTCCATATATGTTTTAGTAAAAAGTGTGTGTGTTTTTTTTTAAAAAAAAAAATTTATAAACAAAAGGAAGTGTATGTGGACAAAAAGATAGTGGAAAAATCAGCACCCATATGTTTTTATGTTTCATGTTTTCCAATAATGTATGTAAACATGTGTGAGATTAGATGAATGATAACATGAAGAGTCTTCGACAAAGACATTATTGGCCTTCATGGATACTTCTCATTATGGACCATTTTGGTGGTTTGCTATTGTTGTTGTACATGGAGGCCACTATGTTACTCGTTGGGATGGAGCTAGAATTATAAAGTCGGAGGTCGAAATAGAAAATACAAGTATCTTTCAACAAATACACAAATAAATTTTGCATATTGCAGATACGATTAAAAGATACATACCAGTTTGGGTGGATGATTTGACCACCTCTGTAATCGAGATATATTATTTTCACACAGAGACAAGCTCACTGATAGTTATTATAATTGATGCCTATATATATACAAATTCAAAAGTGCCATATTGTTCTTTGACATTGGTACAAGAAACTAACAAAGTATTATCTAATTCTTCTTTATAACAAAAGAGAAAGGTTCATTGCGAAGATGAACGGTGGCCATAGTTTAGTTGGGATTTATTAAAAAAAAAAACATTCGCTGCTGGAGATGCCCCACTAGGCCTTCGTTCTCAAGATTGAATTATTCGCGTGGAACAAAGAAAGCAACGCGGAAACTAACAAAGTATTATCTAATTCTTCTTCATAACAAAAGAAAAGGGTTCACTCTGCAAGATGCTTCCCATTAAAGGCATGATTATCTACAATAGGAAAAGGTTTCCTCATAATATATATTCCTTGTTCTAGTTCTTTTCATTGCCACAAAATTCAACAAATCATAATTTACAAGAATCTTCTACATCCATTAAGAAAAAAAGTTGCATATATATAATTTACAAGAATCTTCTATATAATTTGCATATATATAATTAAGAAAAAAAGTTAGAAGATAAAATAAAATAACTACTACTTATCAAAACAAGTAGTCTATTACAAGCACATCCAAATACTCTATTGCAATTAAAAAAAATTATTTTTTTTCCAAACAACCTACAAGAAAATATAAATAAATTATGTGAACTACAACTTAATGTCTGGATAAATAATCATGCATTAATTAGATGTTTAGCAATATAAATAATCATGCATTACATATATTCTTTCCGTGTTGCTATTGTTGGCTGTTGATTCTCTTCTTGCCTACTTTTGTTGGGCTTCAATATATTCTCTTTCAATAAATAAAATATTTAAAAAAAAAAATAAGAGAACAATACATGAGCGACCTTGCTTCCCAAACTCGATTGGTTGTTCCAATCATTATTAATAAGGTGGTGGCATTATATAGTCATAAAATTAACTAAGTACACCATATGATCTAAGTACATCTTAATATTTCAATCAAAATATAAAATTAACTAAGTACACCCTATTTAATTACCAAAAATGCCCCTGGTACACCCTATTAGCAAATGTCCCAATTTGGCAAGAGGCGTGATCAATTGGGACTGCCTTCAACAAATCATCAATCTAAAACTTGAGTATCTTTGTACAGTAAATGTAAAATTGAAAAGCTGAGGATTGGATCATTGATAATAATACTGGATCCTTCTTTTTGGTTTTGGGAGATAGCTTGTTGGCTAATATGCTGACTGTCCTTTGTACAACAGAACATAGCAGACGCTTAATAATTAGCTACCATTGTCTGATCTCCAATGAACGCCTCAAAGTGATGGGGCGATGTAATCATATTTGGCTACGTTTAATTATATTTGTGATGAACGCCTCTTTAGCAATACGAAAACTTCTATGTTTAATTAGAGTTAAATATGGTGAGTAGGATGTACTGATTAAAATTATATTTGTTTCACAATTCAATATATCTTTTTTGGTCATTTTATATTAGAGTAAATTAGTAATTCAATAAATAAGTTGATAATACTCAGTTAATTTTAGAGTTTGTTTAGTAATACTCAAGTAAAATAGATGCTAGAGTTTCTTATTCAAGTGGCAATTAGTAATGGGCAACCTGTGAGTTAATGTTTCAATCAGACCTTGCAAGCTGCGCTGTCATTTGTATTACGATAATAGAATTTTCATCTAAAAAAGAGTGATATAATCTCAAGAGATCCAGATTATTTTTAAACTAATTTTGTGCTTTTCATTTTCCTTCTTTCCTTTTCTTTTCGGAAAGAAAAGATTTTGGGATTGAAATCTGTAATTTCAATACAAATGGCAGCGCAATTTGCAAGGTTTGAAGACAGAAGAAGAGAAAAAACATATTGGAGAGAGAGAGATTTGAAGACGGAAGGAGAGAAAAAACATATTGGAGAGAGAGAGAGAGAGAGAGAGAGAGAGAGAGAGAGAGATGGATACCTGGAGAAGAGTGGAGAAGATAGCAGAGAAGAATCCTATGGAAAAGAAGATGAAAAAAGTTCATGATTTTCAAAGTAGAAAGCGTGTTTTCTTTTTCCATAGCCTTATAATTAAACGGATATTATCTAAACCAGTGTGCGTGGGTTGTATTAGTTAGTCAGGTAAAGAGAGTATTAATAAAAGCCTAATCCATCTAACATAGTCAGGTAATTAAATAATACAAGTTGACACCAAACAACAGACATGGGTTATTTACTCTTATCCATAGTCTAATACGGTGTATCAAACATATCCTAATTAAAAGTGTATTATATCTTAACCGGGGTGTGTGGGTTGTATTAGTTAGTGTAGGGGCTTTTTTTCTTCCGGCAGCTACTACGGGCCTGACTGCCGTAAAGGGCAAAATGGAAGAAATTGCCCCTTGAGCCTGAGTTCGAAAATTAAGCCCCAAAATACCTCGAAAAGGCAGTAGAGCCTTAGGAAGTATTTTGGTTATCTTCACCAACGAGAATAATGGTAACTTGCAGATAGTTTTGGCATGCTTACAGATAGTCTTTTCAGCTCAGCATGAGTGGCATGTGGCATGGGAGCAAAATCAACATGGGTTTAGCACTAAGAGAGAAATTAGGCTTGGTTTATGAGAAAAGAAAGTGTTTAAGTAAGGAATGAGGTGTTTTGTGAGGAATTCGACTAGGGAAAAAGGAAAAAGAAAGGCAGAGTTCTTCTGGCAGCTGCCAGAAAAACAAATTGGAGAAGAAGATGAACAGTGCACGAGTCTGAGTTTTGCAAGATAGAGAGAAAAGCTTGCTCTCTGCAGGTTGTGAGTTGTTTTTGTTGGGTAGGG